CTTCTGTACTGTTGAATATTATGCATTCATTAAAAAAAAAAACAGTATTCCTTTGTAGGTACCGATATACATTTCTCTAAATATATCGTTGAGCAAAAATGCAAGGTGCAAAGACTTCCACTCTGTAGAAGGAGTAGGGGCGGGGAGGTTATATATACATCTGCTTACATGTGCACAAACTTATTTTAGATTAATATGTAAGACACTGATAATAGTCGCCTTGGGGAGGACCCCTGAGAGGACAGAAACTGAGAGGTGGAGGTAAAAAAGAGAATTTTCACTCTTTTGCTTCTTTTGAATTTTTTATCGTACACCTGCGATGGGAAAATGTGACTGTTAAGAGTATGACGATGTCTTTCCTACATTGTGTCAAATCAAGGTTCAGAAGGGCAGCTTCTTGGATTCTTGCCAAGTTATGATTCAAATAAATCTGCATCAGTTATTCTTCCCTGGAATGTAAGAATGAGATGACAGGAGCTCTGAACGTTGACTTCCCATTCAAATCACCTGCATCTAGCCCAGCTGGGTGATGCTTAATAAATATATCTTAGATGACTGAAGTTAAGAGCCACCGAGAGAAACAGACAGATCAATGTGCAAGGAAGACTCAGAGACCAAAAGAATTTGAAGTTAAAAGAAGTTTCTTTGCAAAAATGTTGCAAGGAAGTCAGACTTCAGAAGGACTGGCTTAGCCCCAGCCTGCCCCTTGCGTGCCAGTGCTGTGTGTCTGCACCAATGTCGAGAGGATTGTGGAGAGATAAAGCTGGAGAGGTAGGCAAGGCCAAGTAGCAGTGGGCCCTGGACACCATGCAAAGGAGTGAAAAGACAGAGAGAATTTTAGAAAGAAACTGAAAACACAAATACATCGTTCAGACTACTTTGGCTTCAAGAGACAGTGATCTAAACCAAAGAGGGAATTTATTGGCTTGTGTAACTGGAAAGTTCAGAGAGTCAACAATATCATCAAAATATTCTTTCTCTTTCTCCACCTCCCATACCCACTGTCTTGTGTCGACTTCAGGCTCTTGCAGACTCTTTCCACATGCTGGCTTCTGGCCACTCCAGTTTTACGATAAGCAAATAAGTGGCCCTAGAAGTTCCTAACAGTTCCAGTAAAAATCTTAGAACTGATTCTTATTGGTCAAGTTGGGTCACATGCCCATCCCTGAAATAATCACCGTTTGAAATTCTAGTAGGCCAGGCAAGGGTTATTTATGATCACCCCTAATTGGGGCAGTTAACACCACTCTAATCTTAGGAACCAACAGTGAGGGAGGGGTTGTCCCCCCAAAAAAATCAGGATGCTGTTTCCAAACACAAAGATGCTAACCAGGTTAAAACTCCACTCTAAACAAAAACAAAAGATCAAATGCAGATTGTTCCCTTTTTTAAGAATAAAAATTGGAAAGACCCTTTAGAGAAAGAAAAAGTTATGGTGCTAGAGAAGGCGGGGAAGATTGTGGGAGCAAACCTTGGAGGAAATGGGAAGGGATGGTGTACAGGTGGAAACATGGGTAGTTGAGAATAATTATGGATTCCCGGGGATAGGAAAGACTTTGGACACCACCTAATCCAGCTCCCCTCCTCCTCTAATAGGAGCCTCCTCTCCCCACTCCATACACACAAATTAAGGTCCCTCACAGGACCATTCAAATCTACTTGGACATATTCAGTAATGGATAGTTCATGATTTTGCAAAGCATTTAATTATGTTGTCATATAGGTTTGATTCCCTAAAATGTCTTCTTTTCATTGAGCTAAAATCTAGTTCTCGTTTTTCCGTGTGGATTAACAAACCTTAAGGCTGCCGCTTCATCAGATGATCCTTTAAGTGTTGGAAGACTGTCCCAGTATTTTCTCTTTCCGTCAAACTCAACAAGTTCTTTTGACTGCGTATTGGGCAGCGGGGTTTCCAGATTTTTCAACAGCCTGATTGTCTTTCTCTGGATTCATGCTCTTTCGTATGTGTCTCTCTTTAAAAGGTGCTTAAATATAAGCCTCTACATGAAGCCTGACCACTGCTGAGTTCAGGGGGGCTATCTTTTGTTTTTGCTCTCTTTATCTGGACACTATACGAATGCAATTTAAGATTTCATTGGCTTTTTTTTTTTGCAACACTGCATCACAACTCATTCATTTTGAACTTGTTACACACAAAATCTCCAGGTCTTTTTTCTCATGAGTGGTTGCCAAGTCAGGTCTTTTGTAATTATGCAAGTGGTTTTTGTTTGTCTGTTTGTTTGTTTGAGCCAAGAGAAAGGAACTTCCTAATTTTTTCTTTTAAATCTCTTGTTGTTTCTTTCAGACCTATCCTGTTAGTTGCCATGACAAAATTGCCCCTTGGTAACCAGGTGGTTTAAGGCCTGTGGATCTTGCTGCAAAAGAAGGGAACCCTCTGGCACTCCATTGACCCAACTGGTCTTTCAGTTTATGCATGGGCCAGCCTTCATGTCTGATTCCTGAATAATCTCATTTCTATTTCTTGCTGATGCCTTGGTCACATGTTGCACCACTAATAAGTGGGCAACCTTTCTAGTTCATAGCTTGTGTGTGTACACGTGTACCAGATGATGTGCTTTGACCTGTGGTTTCAGGTCAGTCGCAGACAGCCTTTGCCCTCACTTTAGCTTTGTGTCAGTTGTTCTGGATGAGTGGACACTTTGGTGCCAGTAAGCTGTTCCACCCCTCTCTCATGGCCAATGAAAGGGTAGCAGCCAGGACAGCTCCAAGGGAATTTGCAATCAGTCACATCTGGCTTGTGCTTTAGAGCAGAGCCTGTTAGGCAGAGCCCTAACTAACCAACACCATGTAGCCAAACGGTTTCATGAGCCTTTGACCCAAGTTCCAGATTCCTAAATGCTCTAACCCACAATGCTCTTCTTGGAGCTGAAACTTTCTGTACTGTAGCTGTGTCACCTGGTGGTGGGGGATGGGGGGAAGTGGTGGGTGGGAGGAAAAGGTCCTGATTCCCTTATGACCCTTCATCTGGTTCATAGAAGACTTTTTCATGGGGCTATATATCTGCTTCCAGAATTTCTAAGGGCCTCCCTGATCTAAGATTTGCATACCAATTTGATGTTTTAAGATACTAATATCTAGAAGCCTTCTCCTACACATCACCCCAAGCCCCTTAGACTAAAACCTTTGCATATACAGATAAACTTCAAAGTGAACTAAAATTCTCCTTGTCCTTTGGACTTGATGATGTTGACTTCTGACCTCTCCCTGTTAGGGGCTAGCTCTTTTGCTTCAATTCATCTCCACTGCTCTCTTCGCCCCAATACTGCACTCCTGTCAGCTTGAGCCTGCTTCTCCACCAAGAGTTCCTAAGTACTTGAGGCTATGAGAAAGTGCAATTATGATAATTAAAGAAAATGTGCAACTGGGACACTGTGGGTATGGACAAAAGTGGAGCCTCTCCCCTAACCCAAAGGAGGAAGGTACCTTGTGCTTGGTAGGTACCAACTACCCTTTCATCCTGTCTCCTGTAATGCATGCATGCATTCAAGACCAAAGGCAGTTGCCCTTAAAGAAAGACAGAGGTCTCAGATTCTCACTATAGTGTAGGACTCATACCTCATATATTTGAAGTACCTACCTGTTCGTCAGGAGTTATTTCTCAGTTTTCCCACAAATCTCTATAATAGCTCACTGTCAGATTGTGTCAACAGCAATAAAGAGATGATATATTTGTGCTTCTTGCTCTTGTATTCTGCATCACTGAAGAAGAAATGCTGGCTTGAAGAGCAATGGTGAAACAAAACCATCAATGATGCTCTCATCACCTTTCCAAACTTGTTTTGTGTGATACCCTTTTATATTATTTTAAAAAGAGGAACCAGATGTTTTCCTAAGGGGAAATTTCTAACACCCTCTTTCTGAAAAATAAGACACAAGGATTAAGGCACATATGCTCAGGATTTTCCAGATTATGACCACAATAAAATAACAGATGACATCACCTACGGAAGAAAGGTTTTCATGACTCAGTGCAATAGATAGTGTATAAGAAGTAATTACTAAATATAACAGGAAATGTTGTAAGAATTCTTAGATACTGAAACACTCTTCTTTGCCAATCCAAAATTAGTAGATCAAAAAAAAATAATTTTCTTTATATTTGTTAAACAATCTAAGATTAAAAACTAAAAACCCAAGCCTAGATATGTGGGACTTTTCCATAGCAAAATAGAAAGTATCTGGAAGGCAATCTAAATAAAATCATTTAAGAAGTCATGCTGACATATCTGCTGAGGAACTGTTCACCAGAATGTTTAGACCAGCTCCAAAAATGTCAATCCACTGGCTTGTATGCTGATTATTTTGGGACAGAACACAGATTTCAGAAGGAAAGAATATAAGATAGCACTCAAAGAAACTGAATTTGAAGATATTAGCAAATGTACTCAGCTTTTCTTTCATCAAAGAAAGTCAAAATACAGCTTTGGATTTGTTACACACAGTTTAAAGGGTTTAAGATAAATATCATTTATTTCAAAATAAAAAATATCAAGAATCATAAGGAGTAAGGTATTAGAAGAGGAAAGAAGAGGATGGATTCAAGAGCTCATGGGACAGAAAATAAGACTGGCCTTCCCCTGAGTTAGGAGTAGTAGAGAGACTTGAAGAAGAGGCAGGGGGAGAAGGCATGTAGAAAAGGAAGATGAGAGGGTCGATGCTTCCCCCAAGGCCCAGATGTTTTTAGTGAAGAAGGAAGGGCAAGAAGCCACCTTTGTTTCCCTCGCCAGACTGTAAAATCTGTTAGGGTAGGGACTGGATCTGTTTTGTCCCTTACAGTAATACCCACCACTTAGCCCAGTGTATGGCATATTGTTGATTCCCAATTAGTATTTGTTGCATAAAATGAATGAGTGTGGGCATAGGGACTTAGAAGAGTGGGAAATGCTGGGAATAGCTATGTTAGGAGTCAACAAGAAGTGAATAATGGGGTTGCAAATTTGAGGTTAGATGGTATGCATTTAAAGCAAATCGGCATTTTTCTGAAGTTCAGAAGCAAGAACAGAAAAGCAGACAGATGGGAATTGCCATGACCAAGAGAGTAGAATGGAAAAGGGGTAAGAGGATCTATACACAAGAGCAATGGAGGCCAGGCTGAAAATGGGGTCAAGGGTGGAGACAGAGTAAAAGCAACAACAGACTGTCAAGGTCACAAGATTACAAGTACTTCTGAGAGTTTTAGGCAAAGAGCCTCTTTAAAACACCAGTAGAGCATATAGCTTTGTAACAGGCTAAGCATCCAACTCAAATTTTTACTCTAAATTCTGCAAGTCAGACTATGTCTGACTCGTTTTCCTTTGTAACCCAGTTTGTTAATTAAATGCATAAAAATAAGGAGGAGAGAAGGAAGGAAATTAGTTAAAGACATGATTGACATGTGTTATGTCTATTAAAATTATGAGTTATTCAGATTTTTATGTGTGCATAAATGTATATAAATGTTTGAATGTGTGCATAATACTACTCGCAAATACACATTCCATCATAAACATCCCCAAATATTTTCTGCTATATTGGAATTGATAACCATGATTGAAAAATCTGTCAGTTAGTTGAATTGTGTTCTATCTTCATGCTGCAGGATTGGGCCTAGATCTGGCAAATACTGGGCTTGAGGATCCAGGGAACAAAGAACCAAATTCCTGGGTATAGACATCTTGTCCAGAGGTGAGTTATTGAAAGGAAAGAGCCTAGACCTGACAGAGTTTGACCAGGATCAAAGACCATGGGACTAGCCAGGTCAAATGGAGAGACAAATGGGCAGGTACCACACAGAAAGTCAAAATCCAGAATTACTGTGTTTACTTCTTTGGAAGACCCAAAAAATCAAAGCCTCTGCTAAGACCCTTCCTTCCCTTCAGGCTCTTAAGTTCTCTGCCTTCAGTATCAATCATATTTTCCCTTCTAGGATTTTCTATTTAAAAGATGGATCTTTTGAATTAATTTTCATATCACCTCTTGTCAAAATGTGTTATTATGAGGTTCTTTTTATTTTAATTGTTTTAAATTTTTAATGCCATTTATTTTTCAAAACCATTGACTCATATATTTAGGTTTCTCGGATTGGAAATTCTTTACTTGTGAAAAATCAATGCAAATGTACCTTAGAAGCCTAACTAAGAGAAAGCAGTGACTCATTGTTAGATGGGAGTGAGGTGGGAGTGTGGGTTGAAGGGAAAAGAGAATGAAAGGAACTTCCACTCTCCTCCAGATTTCCTGAGCCTTCAGAATGTAAAATGTAATATTTCCAGGGAATCCATTGTTCATTTTAAAGGAAAACAAAAATTCTACACTTGCGTTCCTATTGGGTTTATAAATCAGGAAATTATTAAGGTGGAAACAAAAGAAATACCTCTTTGTTACTGATCATCTACTTAGTCATCCAAGTCCTTGAGTTTGATTTTGTTGCCAATTTGAACCTCTGAAAATAGAATGTCTCAAGTATTGTTTCCAAATCCTCAAATGCTTGCTACTAAATTATTCCTTTTCTATTTAACACCTAAACACAGAGAAGATGATACAAAAGAACGGGTGCCACGTATGGAACCAACATTGTACAAAATCTGGATTGGGCAGCCTCCTCCTCTTGTTAAAAAAATAAATTATAATACAGCTTTAGTGTGTGGGAATTTTTATGTGAACAAAGTCATCTCAAAATCACAACTCTGTAGTAATTGTTTAGTTGCCCCCTCATGTTCTTGAGACTTAGGGTTTAAAAGTTTTTCTTTATCACAGAACATAAAACCCCTAAGAAACATTTGAAATTGAATACAGACCTCTGGCTCTGAGACTTCAGATATTTTTCTCCCTTGCTCAGTTATCCAACTGTTTTAAAATCTTATTCTCTTTGATCATTGATAGGAATGTTGGCTTGGCACAGTCATTTTAGCTCCAAACTTGTGATGTTTTTTGAAAACTCTCAAGTATGAATTTCAACAAGTTAACCAAGGGTCCTTAATTCTCCTCCCAGCTCTAAGTATCATTTGATGCATTCGAAGTATTACATGTCATCTCTTGCCTATCTTTTTAGATCACACAGACTTTCAATTAGCTATTTTGGATTCTGACCACATATGCTAGGAAATAACTGTTTAAATATGCTCTTCTCCTAACACATTTCTGATGGGATTCCCCTGGCAAAGGTAGATGGGATTTTTTAAATTGGAAACCATACTAGAAACAGACTTGTTTTGGGTAATTGCTGATGAGTTTCCTGACTAGCATACATGGAGCTAAAGTGACAATTCCACTGAACAGAATAGATGGCAGAAAAGAAGGGTGAAAGATGGCACCCTACAAAAACAGGCTGTCCACTTGCAGCAGGAGTTAGTTCATACTCAGCTGGTCTCTCCCTACTGTCCTCTCTTCTGCTTAAATGTTTTGTATCTTCTTGCTGTTTCAGTGCTGAAATTCTGCCAAAAATATTAAACTCAATTTGAAAGAGAAAGGAAAACATAAAGATAAAATTTCCAAAAATTATAGGGAGGAATAGTTTTTCTTCTTCTTTAAAATTCAATCTTTCTATGACACACTATCCTCAATTAAAAGTCACTGAAACCAGTATCCACTCATCTTTAAAAAGACACTATTGATAATAGCTAATATTTATTGAGCTATTACTAAGTACCAGGAACTCCTCTAAATGCTTTTTTTACATTCGTTATTTTATCTAGTTCTCTCAGAAACTCCAGGAAGGATATACTTTTATTACCCTCGTTATAAAGATGAGGAAACAGATGCGATGGGATATTGATCTGCGAGAATTCATCTCCCTACACAGGCAAAACTTGGAGATATTGCGGGTTCAGATTCCAGACCACCGCAGTAAAGCAAACAAGGCAATAAAGAAATTACGAATTTTTTAGTTTCCAGTGCATATAAAAGTTGTCCTTGCTATACTATATTAAGCGAGCAATAGCATTATGTCTTTAAAATGTACATACTCTAATTTAAAAATACTTTATTGCTAAAAATGCTAACCATCATTCGCGTCTTTGGTGAGTCTTAATCTTTTTGTTGATAAAGGGTCTTGCCTCCATGTTGATGAAACACAATATCTTCAAAGCGCACTAAAGCAAAGCTCAATAAAATGAGGTATGCCTGTATTAATAATTTTAGACTCTTTATTAGAAGGGCTCTGAGAATCCCAATACGCATGTGCATATTTTTCACCCACTGAATATTAATTAACACTTATAAGAAGAGCAAAGTGAGGCCACAAGAGCAGTTATTAACTTTTAAAGAATTTTTTCAGTAATTCTGCTTCTAGAAAAACTCTCACAAATGTGCAAAAAGAGACATGTATAGGAATCTCATTTATATAGCACTTAAAATGAACGAACTAGAGTTCCATGTATTAACATGGGTAGATCCTGAAAACAACTTTGAGTAAAAAAAAAAAAATTTTGTTTAGTAAAAACTATGTTTAGAACATAAAACAACAGAATATGTTATTTGTGAACATATACTTATGTAATAAGAAGATAAAGATGTCAACCAGAAAGGTAAAATGTTCAGGATAACAATTGCCTTGGGAGGAAAGGAACAGGTCTGAGGAAGTAGGCTTTAACTCTATAATGTCTCATTTCTTTTGCTTTAAAAAATAATAAAAATATGAGAAAATAATATTTGTTCTTTCAGGATCTACACAGGTTTCTTATCTTATTCACGGAAAGGTTTTGTATTTTAAAAAATGCTTCCATCTTAAGAAAGATAATTAGGTATATTCATGCTGGAAAGGGGCAGAAATCACTATATAGAACATGATCTCTATAGTTTTAGGGTAAAATTTTTTGAAGCAAATTTAACTAGATGCTCAATTTATCCATAAAATAACTTGGTATGCCATACATAGACTGTCTAGCTTTGAGTCTTGTAAATTCAGGGAAACCTCCAAAATAAACTAGTTGTAAAACATATTCCTCGGTGATTTCACTAAGATAAATTTCTTAATATGGTTTTATGTTAGCTACAAACCACAGAGTACCAGTCCTCCAGACCCTACAATATTATCAAGGGAGCAGGAAGAATAGTTGTCTGGAGATTGTTTTAAGCCACACACTTCTGGCTAAAGACTCCTTTTCATGGGTCATCGTTATTATCTGGACTGTACATTCCCAAATCTGATTCCCTGACTCCCCTTCCCCTCCCTTTCCTCATCTCCCAAAGCACAGAATTTTATTGTAAAGATGAACACCCCTGAATGCTCTCTAATTAGGCTATGCAGTTTCGATAGTGAACGTACTTCATTACATTATTTGGTATAAGTTTCTGGGTCATATCTAAAAATACTTGAGCTTGGAAATTAATCTGATCTCTTGTTTGCTTTTGGTTGGAAGCTTTTTACTTTCTAGATAATAACGTAGTTAAAGAATGCTAAATCCAGCATTGCTTAAAGTGCTATTCATTTCTTAAGACTATATTTTGTAAGTGATGAAACTATTCTTTGTGCACATTTAAAAATAATCTCTTTCAGTTATATAACTAACAATCAGTACCAGTTTGTTTGTGGGCAAGTGTTCATACATATTTTTTATATCTGCCTTGTTTCAAAAAGGATAAAAGATGGGTTGCAGATAAATATAATATAGCACCAGAAAAATTAAGTCTGAAGTTAGTGAAGGAATGGAAACAGAATTTAAGTCAGGAGCAAGTTAAGTATATAAAGTGCTTCCTGTTTAATCTTATACACAGGCCGGAAGGAGGCCACATATATGGCTCCAAACTTTCTCACAGCCAAGGGAAATAATGTCAGTTCCACAATTATGTATCCAGAAGATTAAAACAAATGAGATAATAAACAATGGAAATAACAAGTGTACCAGGTGCTAAAACCAAGGAAAATTTTCCAGATATTGTCAGAGAGATTATTACAGCCACAAATTTCATGGCACTTTCCTATAAATCCCTTAATGTAGGCCCAAGCTATTATACCAAAGTGAATTCATTAAGGAAATCTGAGGAGAGGAAGGAGCCATGGCAGAGGAATGGAGGCTGAGAGGGTGGGAAGGGGGTAGTCTAGTCACAATTCAGGGCTACGGTCGCAACTGTTGGTCCTGACATAGGATTCATTATCAGAAAGACCATGTATTTTATTGTCTAACCCAGGATCCTTTGAAAGTGAAAGGAGGTACTATTAAGCCCCCACGACAGGTATAAGCCAGGACTGTTCTAAGCAAACTAGGACATATGTTTACTCTAAGTTCTTGCTCATCACTCACTGACATCCTGCTCCCAGTACAGCCCACCACTGTGGTCCTAGTCAGCCAAATCCATCCTGTCCAATATGGAGTGAGTCTACCCAGCTCTAGTTATAGGGGACTCTGAGGATTTCTGGTCTAGGTCACCAACAAGGGGTAGGCTTGCTCATGAGTCAGCAAAACAGGGAAGGTAATCAATGGGTAATGGTAGCCTGATGATCCAGTCTCCATAAAAAAATAATTTTTAAAAAAAAGGTTAAAGGAGATGTTACTTCTGGTGATGGATGAGAGGGGCAATGAAATAGTTGTAGGTAATTGGATAGGTCCCATGAAGAGGAAAGAGACACGCTACTTTCTGAAGGACTCAATGAGAGACCTAGTGGAATAAAACTGCTTGAAGTTGGAATATTATCATAATGGCTAAAACACTTAAATTGTAGTTCTCAAACACGTATTATGAATTACCTGGAGCATTTGTTAAAAACTAGATTCCAGGACCCTAACCCAACAGATAATGATTCTGTTAGTCTGAGATAGAACCTAGAAATCTATTTTAACAAGCACTCCAGGTGATTCTAGTAATAAGGTTCTAGCCTACACTTTGAGAAATATTACCTTAAATATCACCTGATTAAATAGTCTTTCAGGGAGTCTAACCTTCCCACTGGAGGATACAATGCCAGTTCCCCTGTGGAAGGTAGGGTGCAAGAGATGGGAAGGAAGAAAAGGTGGATGATCAGAAAAGCTCAGTCTTCAGCTACCTGAAGGATTTTCTCATTGAGGAACCTAGGTTCTCAATTTGAAAGAGAAAAGACCTCTCCTCTCCAGATTCTCTGTGTGGTCCTAACAAGAGAACTACCCAAGCAGGGACACAAATGAGCCCATTTAAAAACTCTTAGCTGGAATAACTTCCACTCTAGCAAGCTTCTCTTTATCCAGTAACAGTAGCTAACATTTATTGATTTACTACATGCCAAGCCTAAGTACTCTACCTGCATTTACTTATTTAGTCCTGAGAACAACCCAATGGGATAGGTTTTATTTTTAACCCTATTTTATGGCAGGGCCACTGCGAAGCACATCCACGGGGCACTGTGCCAGGTGTGGTCTGTGTCTGTGGCACCCCCCTGCAGTAGGCAGGACACAATCTGCACAGCTTTATATACTGGCCCCAACATTGTGGGTCGTAAAAGTTCGGTAACTTTCCCAAAGTCCCAGAGCTGGAACCTAAGTTCTGAAACCTTGTAGATGAGAAAAAGGAGGAAACTATATAAGAAGAAATTTCTATGACCCTGCCAGGAAGGTAAATGAACCAACTTGGAAGTCGGAAAATTTATTCATATAAGGACAGATAAGAGTAAGCAGTCAGAAAGTAGCACTTTCCTGAATCAATTGTGCCAACTGAGACT